TGATACATACTGACTGACTGACGACTCGGCCAGTATTGAAAAAATATGTTAGTCGCGATTTTATAATTGAGTTGTAATATTATTTTAATTAAATCATTATAGGTTAAGGCATTCGCTGCCACAGCTACTTTATAATTATAATGGTGAAGAATTGTAGGTTTGCTTTGAGGTAGCCGAAAAAATCGGTAGCATAAATTACACATTACTGAAAATTAATTTCAAATTCTTAAAAGGCGTTGCTTTAAATTCTAAATCTAAGGCTATTATGTTGTATTTGAGTCACATAAGTGATATGTATAGGAATTATCATAATTGCCATTATGACTAATAGATTGGTACCATGAGTCATAGGTTACAATTTCTCCATCATTTTTGGAAATTACACAGGAAACGTGGCAAAACAAATTTTAAAGATGTTGAAACTTGGTTATGCCCATTTGTTATATATTTCAATTATAAAGAGTTTAAAGAAACCTCAAAATGATCCTTTATATTGTGGAATGGGAATAGTACACTACATCAGAGAATGATACCATACATCAGAGAATGAAATAAATGGACTGGGTCATAATGGTAATGTATTTTGCAGGTTCGACATACAAGTTACTATAACAAAAATCCGAAAGAAGTGAGTTTTTATTTGGCGAAAATCAGAACACCAGTACTTCTTACACAGGGAATTACATAAAAAAAATCTTATGATATGTATCAAATATATAAATGTTGATCGTGCTTGGTATATGAAGAAAGTGGTACATTGCAGTCAAAAAATTCAATTTGACAGACTCACAGTTTGGAAAATTGGTCCAGAACCTTAATATACCGAAATCCTCAAAATACCAAAAATGAGGAACCATTATTCGTAGTTGTACCAAAACGAGGACAGGTATTGAAAATTTTGAGTAGGAGGATTTGAACCCAATGAAAACGCAACATGTCAAATAAGAGCCAAATTCGTATGAAAATCGTATCAATAAAAACCCGCCAAAATACCGAATAATGCGAAGTGGGCCAATATTGATAATTTTTAGAAAGGAGATCTTCTATCCAGTGAGAATATCAGATATAAAATTACAAAACGTGTCCATACTCCCCAAATACCAAAACCAATATCACCAAAATATCTAATTACAATTCGGAAAAATACCAAATAATGAGGTTTACCGAAACGTGGTAAACCCTCTATGATCGGAAATCTACTTTTCATAGTCATGTGCTTCATATCGAGTGTTCAGCGAGGAGACAAATAGTCATAGAATTTAACGATAAGGTCATCGTCCATAAAAAAACATATATTTAATTTATCGTGAAAACATGTCCTTTACCACGAGCTGAGATCCTAAACTCCATATATGTCGGTTATAAGGAAGACTGATGATTTCTAGTTTCTAATCCCATTTACTACTAGTCTGTTTACTAGAAAGAGATTGTCAGCTATTTAATTTATCGTGAAAACATGTCCTTTACCACGAGCTGAGATCCTAAACTCCATATATGTCGGTTATAAGGAAGACTGATGATTTCTAGTTTCCAATTCCATTTACTACTAGTCTGTTTACTAGAAAGATATTGTCAGCTAAAACCCCAAATAAAGCTGGATGACATGGTTCGACAGCATTTCCCTTTTAAACAACCGAACATGTACATCCAAACAGGTGAACTTTTTTTGTACAACAGAAAAAAGTTCAAAAAAAACGAAATTAAAGTGATAAGTGATAAACCAAACAGGGCATTTCGTTTTTTGGAAGAAACTACTAAAATGAACTGCATAAGAGAATAAAAGAGTACAATAAAAACAGCAAAAGCAGTAAAAGACACAACATCTGGTACTGACACATTTACCATGGTAATGGGTATGACAACAAAGGGCCAACATAACGAACAGAAACATGCGTAAGAAAGTGTCTAAGGAAATGCGAAAAAAAAATCTCAAATACACCAATACATCTGCAATAGTGAAAGCCTTATGTTAAGTGATGCCAATGGAGAATTCAATGTGTAACAGCTGCCTTTCAATATGTGTAGCATGGAAGGAAGTGAATACACTTAAAGAAATGGCTTTGAATTTGAAGTGTATTTAAAATCTTTGATGCGGTAGGGTATTCACTGAATATATTTTGATTCTTCGTATTAACTTCGAAATCGGAAGATTTATTCAATAAAAATAATATTTATGTTGACCTGAAAAGAATTGCAGCAGATATTGAGGCAACTGAGATCAGGCTGAAATAGCCACCTCAAATTGTATTGGATGCGAATAACCTAACCCCATCCTTACTACGCAAACCACACATGCAAAGTCAAATTGGGCATTGAAAATACATATCAATAAAAGCTGCAACAACAACTAAAGACAATCGTTCCCACGACAATCGGATCTACGCTCCGGAACAACCCGAGTTCGACTCGGCCAGGGATTGTCAACTCAGCGACAGCTGTAACGAACGTTTTTTCCACAGGAAAGAACTTTCATAAACAGCCAACCTGTTACAACAACAACAACTAAAGACAATCTACATCAACAGCTTAGGAATTTTGGGCTTAAATTAAATCACAAAGCATACAGCTTACAATCGAGCATTTTGTTTTTAATTTACAAGTCCAAGGAAACCAAAAATTATCCCTACAATACTAATACCTGAATTCGTTCAAAGATTGCGATCCAGATTACTTGGATTTCAATTTGATTAATACAATTACTTCGGTACTTTTATCTTGGGTTATTTAGATGGTCTACAGACCATCCTACAACTTCTGCCGAAATTTTGATAACAACCGTAGTAGCTAACAATCATAATATCTCAATAATACAAGTCAACTGTGTCGATGACATTTTTACTACCTCCGAATTCTAGAGATTGTTCCAAACTGAGTAATAATTCAAAAATACACTTCAAATCTGGGCCTGTGTACTTTTCAATATCCTTACGATAGCCTCGTCAATGCGGAGATGTCGTGAATCTTTTGCAGTCAATATTTTGTGGCATTTCCTTGTGCAATTTCTAACAAATACAATTCCTCTTGTCCCTTTTATAGATGTTAATTTAAATATATTACTATCTTAGAGTAAAATTCATTCTCATTCAATTATACTATAAGTTAAAGAATGGCCATACTTAGAATTATGAATTGGATTACAAATATGATTCCATTTTTGAAATTCTGCAAAAAATAAGTAATTTTCTAATTAATTAATGTGTTTGATAAAAAATAAAAAACTCTACCTTGTACGGCCATATCGTCTAACTCCTCCCTCGACATATTCATGTGATGGCTTAGTCATTCACATAACCTCAAATGAATAACCTGCATATGGAAACCAGCCATAAACGTCAAGTATCAAACCATGAAGCAGATTCAAAAACTGAGTCTGTATGTTTCTCAACTGTATGGAATGAACCCATCTGCACAAAGCATACAAAATTTGAGGTTATAATAATTCAGATCCCCAAAAATAAAATTCCAACAACTTTCTTTATGGAACAGTCGTCTTTCATTTGGCCAGGTTATTTGAGTGTCACCAAAAATTGCTGTAGTGTGGTAATATGTCATCAGCTTCACATTGCTTCTTCAAACGAATAAAAAAATCAAAACAAAAAATGCGATAATTAGGAGAAAAAAATAAAATAGAAACAACAAATTCAGAGCATCAGGCATGTCGGTCGGTCGGCGGCGGAGTATAAAAACAAACAAACCAACAAATGGACAAGCAGCCAAACAGCAAGAATAGTAATATCTACACTGAGGTTGGTTCACCATGAGATAACATGGACGTGGAATACTAGCAGTCAAGTTGCTCGAAACAGCAGCAACAACAAAACACCAATGAAAAAATAGCAACAAAAATCCCAACACACAAAAAGTAAACGTGCTTAGGTAAGAAGCAGTTCGTCACTCGTTTCCGAGCTGTATTTTGGTGTGCTTGTGCTAACAACCACCACCACTACAATGAAACACAACCACTTCGCAATTGAAGCTATTGCCAGCTACTGCGTATATATTGTTTTCCAACGGCTCTGGCATGGCAAGGCATACATTGGTGCTTGGGTAAAGGCAAAACTGCCATTGTGACTAAGGTGATGTCGACAAACAATGGTGGGGATGATGATGTTGGTGCTGGCAACGACCACCACACCACACTTTGGTAAACGCATGGATTCCAGGCCCAAAATGAATACATAACGAATGTTTGTGTGTGACGACCATGGAATGAGAGATAGCAAGGCAAATAATACACACATACACAAGCAGTCCACAAAGCTATTTGAGGAATCGATTCTTTCCACTGAGACTGAGGCACAGAGTTGCTTTTGTCCAAATGTGAAAATGTGTTCACAACAACACTGCCAACTGGTGGACCATGAACCCCCGAGTCCAATTTAAAAATATTGTGTAATCACAATTTAATGGCCATATCTGGTTTTTAAGGATTACCAAAGGTTTCCTCGGAACTGGACACAAAGAAGTTAAAACACTCATTGTCATCTTCATCGAATGTTTCACCTCATGTTTGTATTTGTGCCATGTCAATCAGTTACCTAGCCACCAATCAAACGAACGACTATGGACTGGTTATTCGCTTGGCTCGAGAGTAGTGGTGGTGACGACGACCGATTGCCTGTCGACTACCATTGATTACCAATACACAGGCACAACCAACCGTCCGTTCAATGGCGATGGCAATGAGACAAAATGTGGCGAATGATGCACACGTCAAACGAGGGCAAAATAAATGTGGGTCTGGCAATTATATGAGCCAACAACGACGACAACGGCGGAGGCAGATGATGGTGATGATGGCGATGACTACATGCAAAATCCAACCTAACCTCACTTTGTTCGCCATCACCTCATCATGGAGTATAATTATCATAAACGTTTGCCCAGTCACTCGGCACACTCGTGTTTGGCTTTGGTATTCGGCAGCAGTAGCAGCAGTCGCAGCCATATACCCAGTCCACGTGAAAATTGGACGGGTGTGGTCGTGTATTCCAACTTACCTTTATGGATACACAGCTATGGATTTTGCTGGCCAAGGGCTCCTTGTCGGCTGCATAACTGTTTAAAATCGATATACATTCGTTGTCCGGAGCCAAGCATAGACGGCAGCAGTTGTGTCTCCTCTGTTGGTTCTGCTGCTGTTGCTGCTGCAGACGTTGGTCATCCGACATTTTGAATTTGTCCTATGTCGTTCCACACTTCCACACGCAGAAGAAAACCGACTCTTTTCGTTCGACACTCAATGGTTGTGGAGGTGGTAGAACTGCTCCTCTTTCCACAACGACAGCAAATCGAAAGATAGATGATTGTTCCTTATTCCAAGTATTATGTATTCGTTGTCTGTTTGATATTTAATCTTTTTTATTTTGTTTTCACTTTCTCTTTCAATTATTATTGCAAATTGTTTTTGTTTTTTTCGCCCGTCTCGTACACACTGTTTATTTTTCGCAATTTTTTTTATTTATTCACTTATTTTGTGCGTTTTTAGATTTTTTGAAAATTTTTTTCCTTGCAAAAATTTTGTGAATTTTTCTTCTTCTACATTTTTGGTGTGTATTCCACTTGTCCTCGATAGCAACTACGGAGGAACAATCCACGACTGCTCGCAACGGGATTTCAAGAAACTGTGCGTCTGGTTTTGCCGGAATGGATTGTGCATTTTCTCGGTTTCTATTCTCTTTCGCGAATATGCCGCGTTAATGGAAAATGAAGCCGCAACGCCGCCAGCCGGCTGCCTATAGCAGACGGCGTTGAAAGTGACAGAGGTTGACTCGATGGCAGGGCTCCTGAATAAAACGATATTATACTTTTATTTTATATATATTTTGATGTAATTTATACATTCTTATTAAAATATTAATTTTAAAATAAATTATTTAATAAAAGTCTAATAATAAAATATAAATTATAGACAATATGGTATTATTTTTTATTTATAAATGACAGATTTGGTAAGTACTTGGCAGCACTCAATGTTGGTATATATCTTTTAAATTATATAAAAATTCGTAGACCATCACCAAAATCACTGAAATTTACTTATATTATTTTATTTTCTAAGAGGAAATTCAATTGGTAATAAAAATAATAACGAAATTATTACTATATCATATGTAAATTATATTCTATATAAAAATATTCCAACAGCTGGTATGACAGTGATGCCAAATTTATTGTAAAATATAAGCGCAGTAACGGCGCTAATAAAAGCGAAAATGGCGAACTTTCGATTCCAAAGAAATGCAATCATGTTTACAAGTGACAACCAGTAAATCGATGAGTACTGTATGGTATTAGATCTATTCCGGAGGAAGTGGAGACCAAGATAAAGTTACTTAGTAAAGATGACCCGATTTGGTTTATTTTTTTATACCTTCCACCTAGCAAAAATGTTCCATTCAAAGTTTTCGCAGGATATAACCTCCGGCCTACGATTTAAAATGTGGATATACTTGTTTAGATGTAGGCAATATCCGAACTTCCCATAAAACTTCCCCGTGACTTATCAAATGTCTATCATACAATATATAATGTCAAACTGAATTGATGGATTCTTTCCCAAGTTTACATATTTGTAAAATTTCGAAATAACAATTCCAAACTCGGTAAAGATTATTTTACGGTTAAAAATCGTATTCCGAATCTTTTTTCAAATTCAAATACATATATTGCTGCGATATTATTTTTGCGTGAAATTGTTGTTGTTTCAAATCGAGTGGGTGTTTCCTGTAAGAATGATATCATTGAATATCATTGTCGTCAAAAATTCTTCAAATAGTGTGAAGTTTTCGTTTTTTGATAACGTTTACCAAATATAGTCGGTCCTTCCCTTTACGTACTTTAAATAATCTAATACTTCTACAGTATAACTTTTTCATAGCTAACAATACAATACTACTACAATAGTTCAAAAGTAGTTTTCTTAAACACAATGTCCCAATGGGCTTTGATACAACTGCAAAAACTTAAAATCAAACCAAAAGTAACGTACAATTCGTTGATCCCCAATTGTTGCGTTACACATAAGTTTCACTCAATAATCCCAAAGGAAAAAAATTATTTCTGTTATATCAAATTATATTTAAACAAAACTAAAATCTCAAGAAACATTCACAAAAAAAATGAAAGTTAATATTCCAAATTGGAGTCATATACAAGTTTTTAAGATACCACTAAACCAATAATTATAGAAAAACATACATATTTGTTAATTACGTTGATTAGATATCAGGTATTTGAAGAAGTTATTTAATTATAAATTTTATCTAATTGTTAATTCCCCAAAGTTAGCGTGACAAAAATCCTACTTCAAAAATTCAGACTCACTTCCCTCTGTGTTGAGTTTACAAGTGAATCGTCATAAGGGTAACAAATGTACCATGAAGTAAACGATTTCTACCAACAAACATAACTTTGTCCAAAATAGGATGGGTATTTGGTTGGGAATTAACTGGGCAGAAGATCTGCTGTGTCCAAGCGAGTAGTGTTGATTGTAATGTGTTCAAAAAAACAGAATATTTCATTTATATCCAAAAAGATATACAGCGATAACATTTCCCAGGAGAAAATATAACACTGTATAAATGGATTATATACGAAAAACTCTGTATATCACTTTTAGATGGGAGAAAAGCGATTGCAACACTACCCATATATAATGCTTGGACACTTTACCGTGCTCATCCGCCCCCAGGAATATTACAATCCATTGAATTGGTTACACGGCCTATGCGACGATTGGGACGTAGACCTCCATTTCCACCAGAGCTACCTCCTCCGCCGCCACCACCGCCTCCATAACCGCTACCGGAACCCCAACTGCTACCACCACCACGTCGATTACCGTTATTGCCAGTGTTCTCGACATTGAATGGTGCAATAAGAGTACGGAAGCTATAAAATGAAAATTACATTCAAAATTACAATCCCAAATTAAAAATTATTTGATGCTTACAAATGCACGACAATTAGCCATAGACCCGTAAAAATTTCCATTACACGGGCCATGTCCCAAGGTCGCTTCTCCAGAACTCGACCATCTGTAAAGACAAAAAGGATTGTTTGCTTCGTTGAAACACCTTTTGGAATTGTTGTATTAACTCACTTCGATCTATGTACACCATTTTGGTATGGTGACACTAATATTTAGGAAATTATTAATGTTTTTTGCAGGTGCTATCGCTTCCTCGAGAAAAACAAGAACAATGACGTTGTTTTTTATTCATAGCTCCAAAACTGACGTGGCTGTCAAATATTTTGGAAACACAATGCCAACGTCTATCGTTTGTGCGCTGTTTTGTGTTACGGGTGCGACTTAAAGAAAAGCGTATGGCCTAATCTTACGAATTGAGGTCTTGGTGGACCCAAATTCGCAATTTTTAAAACAGCAATATCTCGGTAGTAAATTCTGATTACTCCTTCGAAAGATAATACGTTCCGGAAAGTCTTTTCATAAATGAGTAACGATTGTGGTGTTTGTACGCTATATAAATGCATTACCTGATAAACCTCTCATTCAAAATAAAAAGATTAAATTACCTCGCGGGACGTTTCCGCGACAGAAGGGTCTACGATCCGAAACGACCCGAGTCTTACTCGGCCAACGTCTGTCACCTCAGCCCACTTTGTAAAAGCAATAGGGCTGCTACAACAACAACAACGCAGGATTAATTTTTTTCTCAAGTTGGCTTGTTCTGTCAAATCAAAATTAAAAAATTATAAATAAAATATATTCAAATTTCATTGAAATGAAAATTATTCTTTTATTTCATGGTATTCCCTACCGGATTTTAACAAGAAATCATAACCTTTCTTTTATTTTTCGCATTTTAGATCGTGTTGAAAAAATTTTCAAATAAACACAACCACTTGTTGTTATGTTTTTTATTTGACTGTAGAAGCCACTACCTAAAGGGTTGATTTCTTTTAATCGCCCCATGGAAGTTTCCAAGCAGACACACAATACGTAAACACGACGTTATTAATGATCCTCCAGCATGAGTTCGTGTGTCTCAACTGAACTTTGTAAGCCTTAATACGGCATTTACATTAGAACTTTTTACCGGGTTAACCTACTTTATGAGGATTTATTTGGCATATATTCAAAGGAATTGAAAATTTAAACCCACTGGGTTAACCAAATCCGGTTTAATGTAAACGACCTTTAAGACCCAAACTATGGCATAATTATGGAAAATTTGTTTTTTTTTTTTTAATTTGTAACTCAAAGATCAATATCAAATAAAATGGAATTGAATTCTGTAGACTTTTATGTATGCCGATTGTCACATTTTTAACAAATTAAAAACATTGGTCTGTTCCCGTACTATTACAAATTAATAAATATAAATAATTTAACGATTTTTGCCACTGAACACTGTTGTCAAAGCAAATTTATGAAATAATTAGAAACATATGACTGCATGAGACTACCTTGTATAGTTATGCCATGACCCAAACCTTTATGCAGAATGAGATCTATTGAACTACGAGGTCAAATCGGAGTTCTACTCATTCTGTGTTATATTTGTTCATATCCTTAGTACCTGACAAAAAGTAGCAGAGAAGAAGAAATAAGAGTGAATTCAGATCGTATAATCTAGCCCAGATAGCTTTTTGGTAAGTCCTGATTTAGATTAGGCTAGTTTACTTTCGACAATTTTTATCGTTCCCTTTTGAAATTGCACAAGGCAATTCGGTTTAAAAACTATTTTTTTTTTTTGTTCGTGAATGTTTTTTATGTTCGAAAATGTTCTGGATTGGTATTTCAAATTACTGACTTTTTCCTCCCATAGATTACTGTAATCAAATCCATCGAATTGGAAGTGAGATACTTTATTATGCCCATGGTAATTTTAAGGTTTTTTCCCTAGAAATATCCATATGCCTCAAACCACCACATGTTGGATTTTTCGCAGTAGATTTTACAGGTATTTTAAAGTTAATTTTACATATTTTTAACAAAGAATTAGAAGTACGCCGTGCTACTAAAACAACTGAACTAAATTGTTTCCACGACAGTGTGGTCTACGATCCCAAACGACCCGTGTTTCACTCGGCAAACCTCACCTCAGTTCATGGTTTAAAAACAATAGGGCTACTACAACAACAACTAAATTAAATAACAAAAACAACGATAAATCGGTTTTATTAACAACTTTATTTTTAAATTCGAAAAAAGTTATGGTGTTGACATTTATTTTTAATTTATTTTATTTGGAGTAAACGTTTCATTTTGGCATTTTAAACGAAGTTTTTTGTTTTTTTGAATATGTGTATATGTTGATTCTAAAAATATTTGAAAATATATGTTTATAACATTTTGTATTGTTTATTAATAACGGGTAAATTTTAATATTAAAGTTAATAATATATTTTAATGTTTACTAAATATATTTTTATATATTTCTTTAAATTTATTTTTTTTTTAATTTTCAATTTAGTATATAATTTGAAAAGTATATAAGTTTTGGTTGGGTATATGTGTAAGTTGTATTATCGACAGGAAGTTATTGTTGTGTTATTATTTGTATTATTTTGTTTTGGAAACCTAGCCTACAAAAATATGTATGTACGTAAATAAGATTGATTATTGCTGACAATTACCTGCCCTTTTTTAAGCCATTACTACTCACTCACTGACACCACTTCGTGTAATTGTAAAGCTTTAACATGTTTTACATACCGCCTCCATTCTTCTCGTTGGTAAAATAAATATCATAGTTCTCTGGTTGTTATTATTGTTCAAGGTTCACTTTATCGTTCGCATGCTCACTCTGCCTCCATCGTTCGCTATATCCCCGCTTAACAGTGCTAACACTGGCCCTCGGCTGATTCGAAAATACGAGCAAATACCGACGGTATTTCGCCAATCATATCGGTAGCCAGCATGCCACGTCCATGCTTCTGAAATGCCGCGGCATTACAATGCTTCATAAAATAGCTAGCTGCAAAGGCAGCCAGAAAACTGGGATTAGCCTGATTGGCTTCCAAGGACCAATGGAAAAACACCGATAAGACGCCACACAACAGATCGCCCTGACCGCCGCAGCGACGTCCCGAGCCACCAGCTGGCATTACATAGATCTCCGATGTGTTGGGTATGTGTATGCGGTCCCGGGCACCCTTTTCCAGTACAATAACCCCCTCACCCAGTGAGGCCATACGTTCTTTGCAAAATTTATCACTTTCACTGGCCGGGGAGGCAACTGAACCAAACAGGCGACGAAACTCAATGGCATTGGGTGTTAGAATTATATTGCGTTGACCTTCGATTAAGTCCAAATGATCGTTGAGTATGGCCAGGCCATCGGCATCGATGACCATGGGCTTTTCAATTTGTAAACAAACTTTGATAAGTTCAATGACAGTCTTTTGTATTTCTGGATCCCGACCCAAACCGGGTCCAATTATCTAAAATTTTATTTTTGTGTTTTTTGGAAACAAAACAAACCAAAATCAAGGGAAGAAAAGAAGAATACAAGAAAGAAAGAAAAACATAACCTCAACATTATGTTGTCATCAATAATGCAGAACTTATCTATACTGTATGCTTCTGACCACCACTACTTACAATTACATGTAACCTTTCCAACCAGGGCGCAATAATTTCAATGGCATTCTCATCGTCCAAATTCGGGTGGACAATCAATTCGGGACTATATGACTTAATGACAACGGCTGCCTCTTTGCGACAAAAGACATGAGCCAAATCGGCACCTACCTTCAGCGATGATATAGCTGCAAAATATGGAGCTCCCGTATATTCTAGAGAACCACCGACCACACCAATGCGTCCGTATTGCCCCTTGTGCTTGCTATCGGTTAGACGGGGCACCACCGTCCTTGAAAGCTTCAATAATTTCTGTGTCTGAATAGGTATTTCCATGCCGACGACGTTGTTCAATTGCTGAGCTGTTGTTTTATTAATTTGCTGTTGGTGTTGTTGTGTTTGTGTGTAAAAACTACAGGCATTATCTGTCGTTGGACTGGGCAAACACCTGAACTGGCTGATTAAAAATACAGTTGTACGCGGTTTCGTACGTAAGATTGAAGTTTGCATTGCAAACGAGCTTCGATTTTCGAACTTAATTTAAATTTAATTAATTTTTTTTTGGTTTTCGCTACGTTCGAAGTAGACAAAAAATCCACTCAAACGCACTTTGCCTTTGTTTGGTTAATTTTTTGGAAGAATCGATTATGGTTACATTTCAAATGCCAAGAAGTATATTGCAAATACTCAATGTTTTTCTTTCTTGTTGAATTGCAAAAAACAAGTAGAAATAAACAGCTGATAAGAAAATGGAGAAAATAAACAAAAAGGGTAAATAAGACACAATGTTGCATGGAAAAGTAGTAAACAATAAGGGAAAATTGTTGTGTTGCCAGAGGGATCGATGTCTAATTAGAACCAACACGATTGAAATACCAATATTATTCTAAAATACCAAAAGTTGTGGTATACCGTTAAATGGGGACCGAAATTTATAGTTATTGACATGTTATGGTAGGAGGATATGCCACTTAATGGTAAACCAAAATATCTTATTAGAGATTTTAATGTGTGTCTGAAATTCGAAATTAGAAGGGTGCTGTTATTTTTTTGTTTTTATTTGATTTATGCCGATCAGAATTCATAAAATATTCTGCGTAAGCTTGTATTAGATCGCTAAGGTAACTTTGGAGCCGGGATACCGAACTTACAAATATCTTTTAGAAAGAGAGAGATTGATCATACACTGTCTAGTCTAAAGGTTGGAAGTGTAAATATTGATATGGAATTTGGGTAAATATTTATTTCTAACTATCTACTTACCACCTTCGCAACCAATCGTTCAGGATCTCAGGAACGTGAAGGCATTCAAGACGTCATTATATCGTATTTCAATAGATCGTCGATAGCTAACTCCATGAAATCTATGCATCATTAGTGGGTCTTCGAAGCTGTAAACATTTGCAGATGCAATGATGTCCTAAACCAACATCCTCCAGCAATTTCTGACAGAGACAACATACTGGATAAATTCATTCATAAACTCATATATCATTGTATTCTAAATTACAGTAGTTTGAGGATTTTATACTCTACGCGTTATCAGTATAAGTCCACTTTTTGGATCTTACAGATTTTAGGAAAAGTCCCCATTAAAAATTGCTGAAGTTTGTATTTGGTGTACATAATGAACTACATAAATCGGTTTGTAGAATTATCGGTATATGCCCACTTTTTGGTATGTTCCCTATATTTTCATTGCATGTATCTGTCAGCATAACTATGGTGGAGGGTATCCAAAGTTCGTCCCGGCCGAACGTAACGCTTTTTCACCTGTTTTTTTTTTTTTTTTTTGAGAATTCCTTCAGTCTTCTCTATTCAAACCCCCTGAGATCGGTTAGTCCGTTTTCGAAGGCATGCAAATGCTTTGTAGTGGCATAGGAAATGCTTCAGTGTTTCATTGTCTTCCACACACGCTCTGCTGTTACCCTCGCATCCAATCTATAGTAGATGTGCTTTCAGGCTGAGGTGTCCTGCCTCATCATTACCCCAAAGAGTTTTGAAGGTCGCCCATGCCCTCATGTCTTGGCGTGTTGCATTAAAGTATTTGGCAGTATTCACATCTATTGTGGGTAGTTGGTTGGCTTTCTCGTTGCCTATGACTCCTGTGTGACCCGGTACCGATATAATTCGTACAGGTCCTTGTTGTGAGAAATAATTAATGGTATTTATACATGTCAGTACAGTTTTGGATTTGGCTGCTTTGGAGGATATTGCATTTAGAGCTTCTTTGTTAATTGTCATTATATTTGTTGTATTTTGTCCTAGGTTTGAACTTAACCAGTAAAGACACTCTGCTATAGCTTGAACCTGTAGGATCGTGCTGTGATCTGTAAGGCGAAGAGAAATTTCGGTACCCGGTTCTTCAATAAAAACTCCCAGTCCAGTCTTTCCTCCTAGTCGAGAGCCATCTGTGTAGCAACAGTTACCAGCAGGCATCCGCTATTCCATTGTTATATCTGGTATTATAGTTTCGCACAATGTGACTACTCTCGTTTCAAATATGCGGTATTGACCGGTAATGTTTTTGTGCGTTATGTTGTGTTCGGTGTCTAATCACTCGTCCATTGCTTTGAGTCTTAAAGCAGCGACTGCCGTTTCATACTTTATTTTGTCCTTTTGAAATAAATTGACGAACTACTATGTAGGTTCAGGACGCTCAAATTTAAAACGGATGGAAAATATATTTGTCCTAAGAGAACTATGAAGGCCTTCATTTCATGAAGTAGTTTTGGAATAGTCCATGTAATGAAGTTTTTGGAATCGCTCATGGCCCTTTGGGCTAGATTCTCGTTTATGAAATAAATTGAATTATTGAAGAATGGAATTTTTCAAAAATAAATATTTAGCGTAGAAATCAGGTCCTCCTATAGTAAAGATTTCAAAACAAAGTCCTGGACTGAAGTGGCAAACTTTTCAAATTTATAATAGAATAATAGAAAAAATCAAAAGATATTCTATGAATTTTATATTCTGGCGGTTCTGAAAAAGATAATTTGTATTTAATAATTCCATTCAAAACTAAAAAAAAAATAATATCTTAAAAATAACTGGCAGCAAAAGTTCGAATTTTTAAATCGTTATTTCTTAGCAATTGTCATAATTTTTTTTTCCTTTTTTGTTTTGGTGTGCAAATTCGTATTGGTTTGCAAAAAAAAAGAAACAAATCAAATGTCACTACCATTTTTAGCATTGCTGATATTTTCTTTGTGTTTAGTACCAATTTTCTCAGCAGTTGTGTTAATTTGTGTGAAGTAAGGTGCGCTTAGCTTTTCCTGAGTTTTCCTTGATAATTTTCTTTTATTTCGTTACAACAATTTATAGATTTTTTTGTTATTTGTATAGATTTAAATAGAGGCATTCCGAATGCATTCGGTGTGAACGTGTAAGGTAAGTGGAGATTTGAGGGTTCGTGGTGATCTGAAAAGAAAACAAAAATTCCTGTGGTCATCTCCAGCTTGTAGCAAAGTTTTTCCATCGAGAGTTCTTAGCCGCAGCTTAATTTCCAAGGAACGGCGACAACTGGAAAAGCCCAACAACAGTAGCAGCAGTGACGGTGATTTGTTGGCTGAAGCCATCTTCAAGGTTCAACTACTATAATATGGTGGTGGTGATGGTGGTGTATGTTCGTCGTAGTCGTCGTCGTCGTGTGTAATGTGCATATGCAATCAATGGAATTGTCAAGCTATTACATAGCAGGAGAAAAGTGTGTGTGTGAGTCCAAGTGAAAATGAAAACGAACAAATCAAGCCAATACTGATAAATGAAAAAAACATAATAATCGTTGTAAGGACCAACGACCCAAAGTAATATCCTTGGTGCAGAGTGAGAGTGACTTTTTTATGAGTTGTCGTGAATTTAAAACACACCACATATGGCTGACAGGCGGGCAGGAACAGTAGCAAACAAGTCGCATACATAACTTATATATAGACATCACTGCTGACTGACGACGACAACGACTGGACAGACAGACAGGACAAAGCTGATCGAAGAAAAAACTTGGAATTATATTTTACTGTGCTACATAGTATATAATCCAAGTATATATATTCAACCATTCAATTGTGCCAACAAGTACAAATAATAAATTACTTATGTACTGGGTTTTGAATGGTGTATAAACATAGTGCTGAAATGTAAAAAAAAACTTTCGTTCAAAAGGACCACTAACTTCCTGAAACATTTCTGTAGAACAAACGAACGAACGAGCGAATAAAGAAGGAAAAAACAATAACAAAAATCAGGTCACGGTACAAATTCAATGTCACACGTCATGTCAGGAGGAAAAATTCTTCAACAGTTTTTCTACTGTCACAAGATGTAATTTTATTTTGCAAAAAAGAAGAAAAAGTAAAAAATAAGAAGTGTAAGTGAAAATATCAAAGGAACAAAATATATATAATCCAAATTATTTTTTAAAGCCAAAGTGAAACATTATTAATGTGGAAAACCAAATTGTAGCACAGTGTCGTCTAGTAATAATTATACATATATCCTTAATCCAGGAGCGATTGTGTTTTGTGATACATATTGAAAAAAGTATAATTTTCATATAAAATATGGAAAAAGGCTAAAGTCGCAAAACCTCTTCAAAATTTGGCAGATAATAAAACCAAAGTTTCGAAATAATTTTCACAAGTTGATGGGGAATTATCGATTCTCCAAAGTTGATAAACATTTTATGACCTGCAAGTTTTTATAGCATATATAAAAACTACTAGTGAAGCGTACAACAATTCGCGTATGTATGCAAATATGAAATTTGCAAATATTTTTATGGAATATTAAAGACATCTAAATTGTATTTGGATTATGAGAATTCTAAAAAAATAAAGCAGTTTGGAACTCAGGGGATTCCCCACATTTGTTAAAAGATATGAGTTATGACATTATTCAAATAATTGTTAAAAAAATAATTTAAAGAAGCATTTGTTGACCTATACGGGGAGTCCCTTAAATTATTTACTGTTTATTTTTTTTTTTAGATTTTTCATAATTCCAATAGAAATTCATAATATAACATTCCATATAGAGTGAGTTGTAACTCACATTAGACTTAAAAATCATAGAGCATGTTGGGTTCAAGGACGGCCATTTGAAAGAGCAAGACATTACATTTGAAATAGTTATGTTGTTATACCCTATGTAATCTTATAAATCAAATCATAATTATACCAGATTAAATTGAAATTATAGTTATATCGAATCAGTACGTATTGGATACACCTGTTTTAGGTGTAGGGTAATCCATTTCGAGGTTCGCCAATTTTTAATGTAATAAAAGAACATGAAAAGTAAAATTTACCAAACTTTTTTTACCATCTGCAATTGGTCCTGGTCCACACCAAAGTAATTTCCATTTTATCCCTAGAGATCATTTGATCATCATCGAAAATTATAGGTGACGTCCTTGAACATAAAAGGACATTATGTGCAATTCAAAGTAACCAGACGGACATTTCCCATTTAAAATTCAATTTCAAATTCATTCATTTGAAATTCATAACATTTGATTTAAAATACATAACATTTCATTTGTTATTCATAACATTTAATTTCAAAGGCTTAAATGCTCCCAGATCATTTTGAAATTACCATAGGTAGCCCATCTGATGTTGATTACAACATAAATTTTCTCGGGGTAAATCAGTACTTCCCGATATATGGGGGTTCCAAAGTTCTAAAAATGCACCCAGGCCGAATTCCGGCTATTCCGAAAAAATTAAAATTAAAAAAAAATTCTGTTTGCGTAGCCCAAATTTCTACATGTCCTTAGGAGAAAGCCTTAAAAACCCGGCGGAAGTCCCCATACTTAGAACACCTTTTTATTTATAGAAAATTCTACTCACGTAACCCAATGTTCCACCTATCCATATTAGAAATTTTTAAATCACAGGCCAAAGGCCGGCAATTTTTAAAAAAATTCAAATTAAAGAAAATTCCAATTTTCCGGAAGTATGAAGTTCTCCTGAAAAAATTATGTGGTTGTGATCTGCAGTAAAAGTTTCAAACGTTTCGGAGTGGTATTCTTAAAGATATTTAATAACATGTGGGGGTAAGTTTGGAGCCCCATATCTCGGAAGAACTAATTTGTCTCCGATGAATTTCAAATGGAAATATACGAATTACAAATGAAATTCCTTAAATTTCAAACGGAATGTTTTGAATTACATATGAAAAGTATAATATTACAAATGAAATGTTGTGAATTACCAATTACATTCTCCAATTACAACAGAAATGTTATGAATTACAAATGAAATTTTCGAATTGCAATTGAAATGTTTTGAATAACATCTGATAGAATCGAAAGAGTTTGCTTAGAATGAAGTCTCTCACTATCCCAAATTGCAGGAGGATGTTGGAGTAGGATTTTGTTGCATCTGTAGCCATTTATGGCTTCGGAGACCGCTAATTGATGCACGGATTTCATCACGTTCCAATGGAATGACGTCGTCTTGGATGTCAGCACGATAGCGCATGTCCTGACGGATGTGGATCTGCCTTCACTGCATGATGATTGGAATAACTATCCCAAATTGCTTTACTGACAGCATCCTGGTCTCCTCTTATTTGTCGAGGTAGATGCTGCTCTTCTCCTGTTTGTTATCAGAGGCAGGATTTCTACAAGGATTGTTTTCACCCTGTATTGTTGAATTGGTTCATTAACAGCATCAGTGTGAATACGATTCAATCCTGCTGTTGATCAATCTTTTGATGCACATGATTTCATCGCGTTCCACAGGAAGGATTGGTAAATGGTGTATGAGGATACACCCTGTTGCAGACGGCAGAATGGAATATTTTCCATTGCGTTGCAATAATGTTCCAGAGATCGCAAGTACCAATTTCAGATGTCACGACAACCGTCGCTATTCACGTTTATATTTTCACCTACATGTTTAGGTGAAATGTGAACCAATTATTCCATCGGCCCACAAACCAAACCATATCGACGCCTCCGAACCATAGTATGGTAAGTCTGAAAAGTGGGTTTTTCAGTAGAAGCTTTCAAAGTATGGAACTTTCTTTAATCGTACGTGCCATGCTAAGTACATTTTTGCTTATAACTTTGGTTTGGATTGGCCGATGATTACCAAAATATACTATGGTTCGGAGGCGTCGATATTTTATTTCACATGTTGTGACAGCTAGTGAATCTCTTAAAGCTGTTCTTCGTCGCAATGGATCTGACAAAAAAGGCTATTATAAAAAGATTTTTAAAAATAATTTGTACCGGATACTATATTTCCATACTAAACAAAATTATGTACAACATAGACTGGCTGCGTCATTGATTCTTCCAAAGATTGAAGGCATATCGAATTCAGCTGTCCTCTTTCTGACACCTTACATTGGGATCATTCTGCTTATCTTAGAAAAATTAGTAGTAGTTGGAAAGTGTTTGTCGGTATTGCCGCTTTAAATTTAATATACTTTTCTATCATCTGACGTGGAGGTACAAGAAGGACCATTCCTTATGGACCTCATCTTCGGATTGAATGTAGATTTGGATTTACAAAGTCTTAATAAATAAGAATTCTCAATTAGCTTCATATGAGATTTACCAATCTCTCAATATTTTCACTATTTGTGGAGTGGAAAGTAAGGTAATCTGCACCTTTTGGGCCAAAACGGATACTAAAATCGTCTTATATCATAAGTGGAAAATGTCGACATTTTGTAAGGGAATTACCAGAAAGAGTGAACCGATATCTTCGGATATCGTTAAGGTTGTAAAAAATTACGTTGTATGTAATTTGGATCAAATCGAATACTCATTTCATCAATATTTTGAACATTTTCTAGGAGGGACACCAATGGACCGCTTATATCCATCTTCAAACTAGGTCCAATGAGGAAAAGAATTTATAATGTTCAAAATTTGGATCAAATATATGTTCTTTTCTTTTAAAATAGGTTTCAAAGCAATCTTCACAGTGAAATCCTCAAATCTCCATTTACGATACGTGATCACAATTTATTATTTTTCAATTTTAAAACTAACTTCTCTATTCTCTTAATTTTTAGGTGGTTAAGTGTTTAGTGTGGTGTAAAGTGCGAAAGTGGAGATACATTTGTGTTAGAACGCGCGTGTGCGACACTCACTAACTAACCGGAAACACTGAACATTCAATAGACGAAAGGGTTTGCAAACATACATAAATATATATATGATTTAATGTTAGCCAATTGACGCTGCTTGAGAACGAAGGATTGTGGAACGGACAAATCACATCTAAAAGAGGATTGAACACCACCAGTAGCAACAAGAAACACGCTCTCTGCTGTTGAACGAAATTGATCACCAGCTGACAAGAAAGGGACAATCGTATCTGTTACAGAAATAAATACTTAGTATTTTATTTTTTGGGGTTATTAATAGAGAAAGGTTACAAATAAATTTTACAAAATGTCAGATATTGGAAGCGGTGATGGTGATCTTGGTGGCTCAAGTACGTAAAAATACACAATATTTCGGATTGTTATAAATATTAATGTTTTCTTTTTAATAGAATATAATGCTGCCGGCAGCAGCATGGAGGGAGCAGGAAGATGTGATTTTGATCCGTCGGGGAAAGCTCCTCAGGGTCAAACCGAACAGGAGTTGGCTACGAAAATGTTGCAAATACAATCGAAACGTTTTTATTTAGACGTTAAACAAAATCGTCGTGGTCGTTTTATAAAAGTAGCTGAGGTAAGGACAAACGACAACTAACTAACCAGAAAGAGAAATAAATACCTATTTACCATTAAATTTTCTTACAGATTGGAGCTGACGGTAGACGTAGTCAAGTCTATTTAGCTTTATCTACAGCTGCAGAATTTCGTGATCATTTGTCGACATTCAGCGACTATTATGCCTCTTTGGGTAATACTAATTGTTTTATTATGTTTTCTCTTATTTCATATTGTCATTTCATTACTTATTAGGACCACCGAATCCCGATAATCTACCAGAAGATGGTAAACTGAAATCGGAAATGATGACCAAGGATAATAGACGTTATTATTTGGATTTAAAAGAAAACGCCAGAGGACGTTTTCTAAGGGTATGTAAGAACCACTAGGGAATCACCAGAGTTGAAGAAAACAGCCCAAAATAATAGCCAATAGTTGTTCTTTAATTATGATATTAACATTATAATTAAATTGGTATCATTTCACATAGGTTTCTCAAACAATTACACGGGGTGGTCCTCGTTCTCAAATCGCAATACCGGCCCAGGGTATGATCGAATTTCGCGATGCTCTCACCGATCTTTTGGAAGAATTTGGTACCAATGATGGCGGGTATGTATGCCATGTTGCTACATATACATTTTATAATTATTGTTATGGTTTGTTTTTCTTTTCAGATTCAAGGGTGATTTACCGGAGGAACGTCATATGAAAGTAGATAATAAGAATTTCTACTTTGATATTGGTCAAAATAATAGGGGTGTTTATATGCGTATTAGTGAGGTAAGTTATTGTGTTATTTTTTTCGTAGATTCGATTTTCTAAAGTTGAAAATTGATTCCCAGTTACAATTATGATAGTCCTAGATATTATTGCAATTGGGAACTGATTTTTTGTGTTTACATCTCAAATCAGATAAAATACACTTTTTCCTAAATTTAAATGTGTTGTGAAATCTTACTTTAGGAGATCAGTGTGCTCAATTCAGATGAAGGAGGGACCAAAAAAGCCTGGGCTTTGCATTTGTTATAGCTAATCAGAGCCGTTCCTTGCTATCTATAATCCCTTACGTCACCATAGACATGTAGCTGGTAATTATTAAAATATGATTTTTTAATAAATACCAGCTATATGCAATGATAGCAAGCTCAACAACGCACAACATGCAATGATAGCAAGCTCAACTTCTGTGGCCCTCCATCATGAGGTAGACATTCAAGATTTCTTAAATCGTACTGGACTTTTATATAGAGGCTTAAAACTTCCAAAAATATCTGTAATCCTAATAACATATCCACCGATATATTAAAATATATAAAGAGAACGAGAGAAAATTTACACTTTAGCAGTATGCTAAACCTAACGGACGCGTCCACAGGTTTCAGATAGCGGTGGAAAATAAACAGTCGCCGACAATCAGCGGGTTCAGGGGGAGAGTCTTGGAGAAAATTACCGAATGCCTATGATCCTTAGACTGACGAGGCTCTCGCCTCTAAATATTCATCTCAGAGGTCACTTTTGGGAGGTAGTGACCCCCTAACGCTGGGGTGTCATGCGACTTCGTGCCTATCAGTGTTCTACGGTTTGCAGTCAGGGTCCCGACTGTTTTAAAACGGAGCCTTGTTGATACCTGGGCGCCTTAATAAGTTTATTTCAGGCATAGTTGCTAAGTCCTTGACATGGTAAGAGGCTATCCCATGGCCGAATTCACATCCTCACTAAAATCAACTTCTATGAAGCCGAATGTATGCGATTTTTCGACTGATGCTGGTGTGTCTGCCTTGGCACTTTCAGTCTCGAACTCTCCAAAGTCAGATTTTAATCAACCCTCACAAATGATGACAACCCACGCTATTTCACTGGACCACCCTTTTGCTTCAAACCTCGTTACTCTTGACGACGTAAACGAAAGCCTGGAGAGGCAGACGGATCTTCTCCTCAACCTTATAAGGTTGAGGAAACCAGCTCCTTCTGCCTTAGTCAGGTCCCATTATGTGAAACTATGATACTGAGACTCACGGTATTGCGGAACACTATCCCAAATATACTCGGCCAACTGTTACACAGATGGCCTCCGGATGGGAGAAAAATCGGAACTGGGACTTCTTATTGAAGAACCAACTTCTTATTGAAGAAGTTGGAGGCTATACCAAAGCACGAATCGATACGGATCATTTTTGCTTTTTCAATACCATACCATTTTTATGAAGATACAATTGGTTCAGTTTTGATGGCTGTGAGACTATAAGCCTGTGAAAAATTCATCAAATCCAAACAAGGGGTTTAAGAAGATTTTTATGTTTTTACCAGTGCGAAAAATTATAAGGAAGCTTCGAAAATTTATGTTTTTTGATAGTTGTGCCATTTTGAGTATAATGTTATTGTTTGTTTGGATATTATCTCAAAGTAATATTTGTAGATCTTAGTAGGGGGTAAAATATTGCTGAAAATTTCGAGTAGTTCATGTTATAAGCAGTACGTATTACTTGAAAATCACCCCAAGTTGAAGTGTACGAATACTTATTCTGGCAAGAGTATACTTCATCGGCTGTCCGGTGAACAATTAGTACGAAATGACAAATTTAGAGAATTATTGACTTTTGTGTCCTTCGATTTGTTTATTTGTGGACTCCAATGATCGAATACTAACATCTATTTTTATTTATTTTTTTTAGGTGAAATCAAATTTCCGTACAGCTATAACTGTACCCGAAAAGTGCTGGACACGTTTTCGTGATATATTCAACGATTATTGTGAAAAAATGAAAAAATCGTCCGAATCACCATCGTCAATCACTGCCGATAATAATACCATACAACAGCAACAACAACAGCAGCAGCCACAGGCCAAATAAATGAATTGGGCAATGGCACAGCAAAATAATTAAAATTATTACAGAAAAAGAAAAGAAGAAAACACAACAACAAATTATATAAATAATAAAAACAAAAAATTGGAAGAGAGGATTAGTGAAAATTTAGCAAAGAAATGTATAAGGATTGAAAAACAAAACTAACACCTAGAAGAAGAAAAAAAACGAAGTAGTAGTGAGAAACAATGGACAATGTCATTATTACTGTTATAATCTATTACATTTGACACTCTACACTCACACACACACACATAAGGAACACATACAACACCCCCACAACCACCATTCAATGCAAAATAACACATCTACACACAAGTTTATCCAAAGAATCTTGTGTTGTTATTATTACAGAAAAGAAAATCCATGAATTAAAAACAAAACAAACAGATTCATTTGTTAATAACTATTAACAATTGACTATTTTTAATGATAATTATATAGAAGAGAAACAAACAAACAAAAAACCGTAACATGATTTTAACCACTCTGTTGACAATTATCTTATTATTACTTTTTAATTTTATCACATATTATGCAAAATAATAAAAAATAAAAATAATAATGACGAAGATGAGGTTAATGATAATGAAGATGTGTTAATAACATAATGTACTATTGTTAAGCTTAAAAACACTTCGATAGATATGTGTCGTGCGTGAATTTAGAAAATACGTCGTAATATGCAAACCTGTAATTAAAGAAAAACAAAAACCAACAAATAAACCTAATGTTCAAATCTGTAAACGAGGCGATAATGAGGAATATAAAACACTAAAAAAAAAAACAAAACAGAGAAACTAAAGAAGAAACAAAGCTGATTGGCTATAGATAAATTACCTTTAGGAATCAGACCATTTTTAGACCGACCGACAAACACCCCCTCCTACTCCTACTACCACTTATAAAGAAAATAGTGTACTACAAAAAACATCACATACTACATACATACATATATTTAAAATGAAAAAAAAGTAAAAACGAAAATAGCAAACCAAATTTCACTTACCCACCTTGTATCAAATATGTGTTATTGCTGCCATCCTTTCAAGGCCAGCAGGCAATACACATTTGAGAGAAAACGAAATGAAAGCAAACAAAAAATAACAACAAAAAGTAAACACAGTTACTGCAATTTAAACACAAAAACACACACACATACAACAATAACATACACAATCATGATAAAAGTGCATTTTAGATAAGGGTTTTGGCCATAATGTCATGGCCGGTCAAACAAAGAGTTCAAAGAGCTTAATGACGGCTTTGTAAATCATAAGGATGTTGGTATTCTTTAGTTAGTTTTAGAGTTTTATTTTTTGAAAATTTTGGGTATATTTAAAATATTAAATTTCGAAAAAGTGTATTGTTAAGTCAAGATCTTATCTAAAATGCACTTAAACGTGATAGACATTGTGAAATATGATTTTGAAAACATTTTAATAATAAAACGCAAACGTTCCTTAATGAAAAGGATACACATAAATAAAAAATATCATGGAATGATAATAATATAATAATATAAAGGGATTTTTTTGTGTTGTTACATCCCTAAATTCTTGTTAAAAAATATTCAAACTTTCCACTATAATTTTTCCTTTTTACTATTATTAATATTACTATTGTTTTATTTACATTACACGATGCCCAACAGCTTTGTTTATTTTGAAAATTGTGGAATATGTAAACCCCTATTCCTTAATCTCTACTTTCTTGCAGTTTCCCCAGTTTAGACAAAAACGAAGCTGTTGAAATATTTTTATTTTATTTGTTAAATGTGTATTATGTTTGGTTTGTCTTCTTCTACTGCTTCTGTTCGTTTAGACAACTATTTATTTAATTATATATATCTGTAACATATTGTGTAATTGTTTTTTCGTGTTTATTATTTTTTTATTAATTAATTAATATCTTATTTATATACAAATACTACATACATGAACACTTGTTTCAGTCTGCTGTGATGGATGAATGCATTCATTTGCAACAAAACAAACAAAAAAAGAAAACAAAAAATTCAAGTTATTTAACAAAAAAAATTGTGATTATGTGGAAATCTATAATATAAATATATGAAAATGTTATTATAAAATAATAATAAAAAAAGAAATTTAGTTTTATCTTAAACCAATTGCAAATGCAAAAATCTAAAAAAAATCTTTGTTTTTATTTATTAACTTTTTTCAAATTAATTAAGTTGTTATTGAGAGTGAAAATGTCCATAGGGTATAATAAAATTTTACCAAATATTTAAGAATGCGCCACCAACGTAAAACTTCAGCAAACTCTATTCCTATACTTTTTGTTCACTGTGTTCATTTTGCTACAAAGAAAAATTTAAATCAATGGATGATGATAAAATTTCTGCCGAACAGTCGATGTCTCCAGCTATGCATCATTCCTTTCTGAGTTAAGAGAATTGATTTTGAATAATAGAATAATAAAAAGATTTATATTTTCCATGAAAGATTAGTGGTTCAAAATTACCGACTGATTGAAATACATCGAATTGTGCTGGATAAATCTTACTAGAAGAAATTCACCCAGTGATATTCAGTAAGTTCTCAGCGTAGAACTGTCCAACTATATCTCTCTTTTACTGGACTTTAAAGTAAACAGACAACATCCAGTAACATTTGGTAACAATTGTGTTACCGAATATCTTGATTAAGACACAGCTATTATTGCAGATATTCAGTATTCCATATTTTACCGAGGTGGCGATGAACGACTTAACGACGTAAAAGTGCGCCACCGTTATGAAAATGAGCTGTGCAGTCAAACCAGAAAGAGACAAAATGAAATGAGCGATCAAAACGCTTTCTATTCTTACAAGATTTGTGCTAAATTCTTCAAAATTGTATTTTCGTATCTGATTACTTTTTTTTAAATGAGCTTTGAAACTATAAACCGACTTCTCACAAACGTCCCAATGTGCGGAGCACCTTTTGAAATCAATTTCCATCAATGATTGAATGAAATCTTTATAAATGACTACACATTGTAGTAAAAACCATTATTTCGATGCTAAAAAAATGAATCGGACGTACGCTTTGTATACTATATTGTACTTCGTGATCCTTGGGGATTCCTTTCAAGCGTCATTCTGCGTATACTATGATAATTTTTCATAAAGTGTGACAAATACATCTAAATTTCGGACAGCTACAGTTAAATCTGCTTAGCTGAAATTGGTCGAATACAGTGAGTTTGTTTTAATAATGCGAAGTCCGGATAATTGATATAAGTTTCATTTAACCGAAGTTCGAAGTTCAATAAAACTGGTATTGAAATACCGCGAATAAATCCATATTTTTTAAACATTTGGAGATAGTATCTGCCATGGTATTCCATTTTATTTCGGTCCATATATGGTCAAACAGTTTTTCTGATTTAGCAGCCAATGTTCGGGAAATTGAAAAAAAGGTTTAATTAGGTATGACAACCATAAAGCTGTACCAATCAGCTGATCGAACCAAATCTATGGAAGTCAATGTATTCGACTGCAATTTCACTATTAATCGAATACATTGATTTCCATAGGTTTGGTTCAATCAGCTGATTGATATGGCCTTGATATTCCTTAAGGTTACCCAGCAAGCTAATGTCAGCAGTTTTTCTCAAGTCAAAGGTAAAAAAATTGTAATTACGTTATTATAATAAACGTCTTGATTAATAACGTCACCCAGGAAGACCAGCTGCTTCTCAAGTTTGCTGTCAAAAGCAATTATGAAAACGTAAAAAAGATCCTACTATTTGACATTAGACTTGAGAAAAAACAGCTGGGAGACCTTAATTATTAATCTTGCTTTGATTCTTACGAATTTAGACAATCGTTATAACATTAATACATATAAATTCATATTGGAAAATTTTGTTTAAAAAAATTTTGATCAGCTGATTTGACCCAAAACAATCTGTACAATTCAGTATTGGCCAGTTGTTTTGTTATATTTCTTTATACAAGTTTATTAAGAATGAAGAGAAACGTAATTTTACTAATATACAAGTTTTTATTGCAGAAATGCTTTCGACCAGCTGATTAAATCTTTACAATTAGGACATTTGTTGGAAAAAAATATAATAATTGAATAAAACTATTATGATATTTAGAAAAGTTTTTAAAGCTGCGTTTAGATTTACGAAATCCACCCAATCTCAAATGTGAATTCCATATCGTATACGTCAAATATAATCTAGTGAATTTGAGAACATGATTAACGTGACGTATACGCTATGGAATTGACGTTTGAAATCGAGTGGATTTAGTAGTCTAAAGGCGATCTAATGGAGACCTTTATCTAATATATATGTATCATTTACGTTAAAAAAATCTGTTGTATGGCGAGATGTAAAATTTTTTACCAACATATAATTATTAATAAACATTTTATTTCATTTTAATATTGTTTCCTTTTTAAAATTTGGATTTTGATTACATTTTGTATTATAGATTATACCATTTTAAACTATAAATTGTTATTTATTTAAAATCTATTTTCTTCTTAATAGTTTTCAATTTAATTCTTTCTATAATATATATAATAACAACAATTTGCCTTTCATTTAAAATTAGCTAAATAAAAATTGCAATTATTTATATTTATATAGAAAGAATTAAATTATTTAATAACTAACAAAAATATAAAAAAATCTAAAAGTATATTTTAGTAGTAATGAAAAACAAATGCCTATAAAAATGAATTCAATTACAATTACAAAAACACAAAAATAATACAAAAACAAAAATGTAAAACAAGGTTTCCCATTTAATTTTTTTCTCACTTTCTTTCAAAAGAAAACAAAATATTTCTTTCAGTGTATTATTTACTTGCCGATTAGAGTAATGTAAAGGTACGTTTAGATTTACGAAATCTACTCGGTCTCAAATGTCAATTCCATTGTTTATACGTCAAATATAATCCACTGATCGTGACGTATACGCAATGGAATTGACATTTGAGATCGAGTGGATTTAGTAGTCT